CCGTCCAAGTCTCAGCAGACTCTCAAGAATGTCAAGCAACTAATACTTTTTCTTTGCGTAGGAGGGGTTGCAAATAAATAAATAAAGGATATGTGCTCATCAAAACGCGGCACACCTGTTAAGGCGCGAGCGAACACGCGTACAGGCATAACTGCTTTGGCATAGTAAAACATATCGTTTTAATGAAATGTATAACGAAAAAGATGTAGTGCGTACGAGTGAGCATTTAGTCAAGAGATAGTCCGACCAAGGAACATGATGGAGCTGGGGCGTGTACAAATCAGTTAAACTGTAGTGTCAATATTCGAGTTCGGCATGATTTTGTCATGTAGCATACCATAAGCACAGAAGCCAAAGCAAGATCTCGGTGCAATCAGTGTCCATTAAGTACCCGGAATGTTAAGTGTTCCAGCAAAGCATGCTCCATAGTAAAAGCGGTTGAACCGGTTGTATGTAGTAGTCTGATTGCGTCAGTGTAAAACGTTCAGCTGTGACTTTATTCAGTAGCGAGTCACATCCCCCACGTTGCAGTGCTGTTAAACGTACATTTGTGGCTTCTATAGGGTGAACGCTTGCCAGGCGGCACTCCACCACGTCCTGTAACACTTTCGTAACTTCTGTTGAACAATAGTGCAAGCCAGGGCTGCATGGACAGACCGACTTTGCATTCTATTACTCGCAGTCGGTTGACGGCCAAATTTCTGCGTTGGTCGACCGATTGGCTGGTAATGATCTGGCAGTAGTCGTTGAAACCGGTCAAAGATGCAAAAGCGTCGTAGAGTAGAATGATGAGTGGTGCAGAAGAGTAAAACCATAGTTAAAAGAGGTTGACTTATTCTGTTAAATACTTGTCCGGTTGCAAAGATTGTGTCCAGCTATCCAAGCTGGACTTATCATAGGGATGATGGGTGCAGTTATTCTTTGGCGAAAATGCCATTTCTTTGCCCAATGAGTGATCGTTGTGAAAGTCTTACTCCTCTAAATAGAATCAGAATTCCTTCAACTGCAAGTAATAATTGGGTGTACTTGTCTCCACAAACAAGTGACATATCCATGAAACGCAATCGGAAAAGCCATTTATTCGTGCGTCAATGAGGAGCAGCAAAGCTGTCCGTGAGATGAGAACGAAAAATCTCCAGTTGAATGGAGAATCAGAGTGTTATTCCGGAAATGAAAGGCATAGAAACACATTTTTTGGACGCCAAGAGGAATATACAAAGCTATCTGTGGCGTAAATGTAGTCACGACAGAATGGTTTGTCTTCCTTTTGAAACAGGAGATAATGGTTGAAGAACCCTAACTAACCAAACCACCATGATCATCGATCGACCGCTATTGATCACTGTATTGCATACTTCTTCATAGTCAGATCAACGTTTGCATTTGACATCATGGGTTGACGCAGTACGGTTGTCCAAATTCAGGCCTGTAGCTCCACTTGGTCAAATGCATAGATTCTGGAAATGTGCCCTTCCTTTTACCACCGGCTTGCAACACATTCTGATGCCGCTGTTATGAAAGCTACCTACGCTTACTACGCCCGTCAGAAAGCCAGGTGAAGTCAACAGCTGTTACATCCATAGTACCGATATGGACGCAGCTACAAGGGGACTTATAGGGGCACAGTAACCAAAGTATATGTTTTTGTTAGTAACGTTACTTATGACACTGTTGTGGCGCCAACATGGGCTCCATAATCTCAGGTCACAAATGCCTATGGAGCCAACCATATCCGCTATGCTAATCGCTATAATAAAAAACCACTACGGGCTGCATCTAGGATAACTAAGAACCCGTCTTAAAGACACGTAGAGCCAATAATTGAGGCTTACCTCGTGGTAACGTTGATGTCAGTGTTCTGGAACGTACGTGGGCTGTCGCCACTGTTACTAGAGGCCCGCAGAGCCCATAACAGAAGTTTTGTTACTAGCATTAATAATGTTCTTCTGTTAGACACACCTGGGCTTAGCTAATGAAGAGAAACCGGATACTTGTTCACTTGCGAGTAAACCGCCCCTGTCATGGCATCTATAATACTTCTCTATGCAATGGTCATGCCGGCAAGTGAGGCAAAGAATGAGTCTCCTTGAGTGCCGACAATACTGTCACATCCGCGGCAGTTATACGGGTTTACTAAACATCAGCCATATTGGCGTGAATAACTACCCATACAGCACCATGTCGCCCGCGCCACTTGCTCACCAGCTTGTCCGTCTGTCGCCCGCTACTTGCAATATACCGCAAGCCCGTACCTTATTAATGGGCGCTTCAGTTAACGAGCACGTGGCAATATGCAAGTTTGCGGGCACCTACTTCACGCTTATAAATAAATAAATAAATAGTTTATTCTCGAATTTGTCGAATTTGCAGTACCTAGTCTGCTGCGCCTCGTGTTTACGAGCAGGCCTGCATTTCGTGCACTGTTATCCGTCATCACAGTGCTACCTATGTTTACCGGTTAGGTGCTACCCTAATCAATTACTTTTCAGATTAACGATGCTCGTCTATGTTTCCGGGCATTACAACCCACTCTGCATATAGCATAACCGGTACTCACATAGCACAACTGTCAGCTACCACGTTCGCATGCTCTTGGGTAGTTCACTCTGTATAACTGCCTCCACTTTCCTATTACTTCGTGAACGATCCCGCAGCACTTTGCAGGACCACCCTCTGTCCTATAACCTTATGGTGCAGGTTTACATGCCGCTATTGACCGTTTATAGGCTTACATGCGCAGCAACTATTGGCTGTTGGTTCACTGGCTGGGTTCGTAGTAGTAGACCACATTCTCTCCTGCGCTATTGCAGTGCGGGCCTTAAGCATGTCCCTTCTAAGCCGTGACCGCAAGCCATCAGCCATTTTCAGCATTGTCGCTTTGCACTTTTTGAGCGCACCTACGCTCCCCACTTAGACGAGTGTATTTGCGTAGAATTTAAACGTCCGCTCTAATACCCCTGAAAAGGCAGTCTCATTATTCCATACGTCTCGCATTGATGTGGATCCTGTTGGTCCTGCGCTACGCTTCCCCTTCCATTCCATTCATTATCGCCAATGCGAAATCAACACGCGCGCCTGGTATCTTTAGTCAGTTATCCGTTGTGTTGAAAAAGCTTCCCTTTCGCCCAATAAGAGTGCGCCACACTGTCTCCGTGCGTGTAATACTACGCCAAGTAATGCTAGGTAGACCAAAATCTACGTTAAATGGTGAGCGTAGATGATGATAAAAGTGGTTACCTTGCACATTATTCAGGGTTCTAACACTCTGACATGGGTAACAGATTTCCCCTTACATAGAATGATTGGGGACATCCTTATCCGGATTTGTCTTTCACGGTCGCCAGCCACAGGACGCTTGCGCTTACAGAGGGACCAAGGGTAGCTTGAACTGCACCACCAACAGCTCCAACCACCTAGCCCATATCCAAAGTAATCCCCAAGGAATAAAACCGAGGGGCAGGTGGGCGTGAGCCACGTTGCTTCAACAGCTCCCGCTCACAGTCCTTCCCAGGCAAACACAAGCACATTGCATACGGGAATCAAGCGCACACAAGACAATGAGTGGATCGTAGTTCGCTCCACACTGAGTGCACGGAATCACTTCGTACCTAGCACGGCCACAAAGACGGTGTACCCTGTCCCCGCCAGCACTGACCAACTGCCTCCTGGAGACAGTATGGACGAAGTAGTGAGTAGTAGACAAGTAGGCACCTTGTCAACATGCACATCAAGCGCAGTCACAATGAGGGTATCAAGCAAAAGGCAATAAATCAATATTTATGCATCGGTTACCACCTTAGTAGCCAAATACGGGGACGTGCTATTTGTAGATGCTACGCATCAGGAGAACTATGGTGGTTATACACTATGGCACTGCATGGTAATCGAGGGTATCATCGTTGGTCACAGCGTGTTCCACGTGTTGCTTCCCAAAAAGACTGCAGGTAGTTAACCGGAGGTTTCTTGGGCTATGTCAGAAAAGTTGCGCACCACGCACTCAGTGTAGGCATTTAAGGCATTTAAGTTGATGTATCCAAGGGCCATATTGATATTGTGTTGCTTCCATTCCCTACGAGACATTTCACGTAGGTGCCAGGTTCTGCCGAAAATGAAAAATGATGACAGTTTTGCTGAAGCTTTGGATGCACAGCCTAGTCTACACCAAGACAGGCTTACAGTTTCAGATGCTGCTTAGAGCTATAAGGTATAGAAGCAACGAGGCTTTCAGCCACCCATGTCGGACGTGGTTGCCCTTCTCAGGAAGTCTGCGTACTATAGCTGGCGCAATGTGCGTAGGTTGGGTGCGTTCATGACAAACAGAGTGGAGAACGAGAATAAACATTATAACGTTGGCTTAAGCGAGAGGACCCCGTTATTGCAACTCTTTGAGAAGGTTGTTCGGAAGGCGCGCGATGCAGGGTCGCGTTGGGCCACGTCGGTAGTCAAGTTGTGGATGTCGAAAGCAAAAACCATTCCGAGCACAGGGCAAGTGAGTGAGTTAGTTTCTTGTCTGTCGTCTTATGCTACAGGCGTATTTATGCGACACATTTCCTTGGAGACAGTGGCAGCGATTGGACGTGACGGCAGCAGGTATTTGGTCCAATTGAAGCCTGACAGCATTTTTATAATTCGGCAGTTTTCAGATTTACTTAAGTTCGGTTACAAATTGGTACTGTTTATCATTGTAAACTTATGACAGTTTACATTGTTAGTACCTTGGTTTTACTGTGCCAAAACTTTTGATACGTGCTTGCATTGGTTATTGACTGAACACGCTGAGGGTTTACTGCTGGCTTGTTACATGCGAGTCGTTTAAGTTATTCGTAACTCAATTGTATGATAGTGTTAAAACTACGATTTTCGAACACGGTTTAATGGCACCATACATTATGTAAGCGCTCATATTTCCGCCGACCGGACAGTACGTTTTTCTAGTCACTCGACCCGCCTACCGACTTCGCAGTAGTAACCTGCGATGAATACTTGCGACTAGCTGATAAATGGATGAAGTTAATGAAAACTCAGCCGCTGAACTGTCACAGGAAGAGGATAGGTTGAAACCGGTGTCAGCTGCTGAGCAGCTCACTGCCATTTCACGCAGAAGTAGATACTTAGAACATGGCTTAGACACAGGCCTTTTAAAGAGGAATGTGTTGTTAACTGGCACTTTTACACTGGGTAATCAGGCAGAACATGAGATAGTTAAACCTGACCACACTGGTTTTTCCTGTGCATGTGGTCACAAAATGTTTACAACCCTCTCGACCTGAAAGCGGTTCGGCCAAGTGGCGGACGACGCGCCTTACAAATGTTTTGCCACGGTACGAAAGCCACCAAGAACTTGTGACAGGAACCGTGGTCATCGACTTTGCGACGTTGCCGTGGCAGCTTATAACGTTAGTACGTTGGAGAATTTGTCCGGGCGACTTAAAAAGGAGATACTGCACTTTGACGGTAATCCTTTAGGTTAATGGATATTTATCAGTGGCTTCCAAGCAAACGTAGTGAATGCCACTACAAATCCCGAGATAAGGCTGCCCTACCTTATAATCTACTGCGAGGGGCTGGCTAGGATAGCGATCGAGAGGTGTGTGATAGTGGAACCAGAGGAGGACCTCCGAGATGCACTAGCGACGTTGAGGTCCAGGTTCGGAAGCCCACAATTGCTAGCAAGAACACACCTCAAGCATTCAGTCAATGGCCTGCCTATAAGTGTCAAAGGTTCCGTTGAATGGCACAGGCCAGCTGGACAAGTGAAGGCCTGCCACAATACGCTACAACAGCGGAATTAGCATACCGGTATGAAAGCGACAGTGTAAATAGCGGCAGTCGTCAGAAGACTCCCCTACGACCAGTAGATTGGAAGTTCCAAGAAGGCAGCCGGGATCCTCCAAACGTGTAACTAGCCCAAATTCTAGGATTTAAATCATTTTGTTGGTAAGCCCGCTGTGATCGCCACCAACCAAGCAATGTACCCAGACGAGATAGCGCATAGGCGTGAGAGTCCTCAGAGATCGAACCGCTCTGAAACTGGAGCAAATCGCGTAAATGCCTTAGCGCTAAGGGAAGGGACGCAGCCGACTCAAACGTAACCGTCTATCCGCCTAGTGTGTGCTCAAACTCATTAGCTGGATCAGTGCCCTCGATTTCTCTTGATGCACAATGTTGAACCTCGGGCGCTGGTATCATAGAAGGACCGTTGTGCACTACGACTTCATCCGAACTATCTGTCGATCAAACGTTAACCCCGGTTGCTTGTGGTATAGGCGGTTTCCAGTTGAAGCGCCACCCCCTACTGTCCAATGCCCAGGTAGTACCAACAGCAGGTTCAGTTGTGAATGAGGCGACAGCTTCTGGATGTCAAGTGGCCTTGTGAGTCATACCCGTGCTACTCCATGGCAAGAAAAACGTCACAGTGACGGACACTTTACTCCATCCGGTTCTGGATACCTAGTTGATCGAAGCAAATCTCTTGCACAGGCTTCAGCTACAAACATAACTGTCGGTAGTTAGAACATTCACCATTACCGGGGAATCAAGCGTTTGCACATAGGCGGCGAACTAAGGCCCTTGGGCGGAAGCAAACCCATTTTTGTGGATAACGACTTGTATGTACAGATGCTGCCTCAAGTCCAAATGTAATACCGAAATCGAAATGTCTACAGCGCTGAGAGCAACTGAAAGATTTGCGATTCATGAATAATCGAACTCGACGTTGGTGTTTTAATAGAAATGTACGTCCCACATGCTATTTAATACTGGAACAGCGCCACAGAAAAATCTCGGAACCTGTTGCAGTGCGGACACATTTGGGCCGGATCCTGCTGGAATCGGTTGTAGGATCGGACACACAGACATCTTGCCCGAACACTATTTCTGTGGACTATCATAACTCACCTTTCATATGCTTGCACTGAACCTCGTAGATTGTGCTTCGGAATTCAGTTTTGAAGACAAAAATGCGTGGAAGCAAAAAGAAGCGACCAACACCAAGCGTGGATACAACAATCAACTCGGCAAACCATGGAAGTGTTAATACTCGAGACATCCAATTGACTACCCTGTGGCCTACTGTGGACTGATGTTGCTGAGAAAAGCTTCTGGCGACTGCTGAGTTAAATCAGTTGTAGTATGCAGCCGTCGAGGAATATATATCGAAAGGCTTTGTGGAGTTAGTTTATTCCAGAGCATGTACCCACGATGACAGGGCGTGCTATATGCCTCACCCCGCCGGTACGCATCCAAACCAACTAGATAAAGTACCTATTGTTTTGGCTTCTGCAAGTACTTTCCAAAAGCCCTCATTGAACGGGAAATGTTGAAAGGACCGGATTTAATCGACAGTTTGGTGGGCGTGTTAATGTGGTTTATAATAGACACCATTGCCGTGGTCTCAGATATTGAAGAAATGGTCCATCAATTATAGTTAGAGCTAAGTGACCGAGATTACCTACGATTTCTCTGGAGGACTGACAGACAACCGCATTAGCCTTCAAGGGTGTTTCGTATGGCCGTCCATCTTTTCGGTGCAACCTCCTTACTGTGCTGCGCCTGGTTTACTCCCTGGAAGACTACTAAATAAATAAATAAATACTGAGGATCGTAAAGACGAGTATCCCGAGTCAGTTTCTTTGGCGCTACAACGAAGTTCTTATGTCGATAGTAGTTGGTTTAGCTGCAGGATTCAAGGTGTAGCTCGTTTTATCATCGGGCGTTTACGTAAAATTGTGCGTGGAGGATTAATTCGCCTGACCAAGTGAAAGCGTATCGACCATCTAACACTACAAGGGTCGCCACCTGAAACAGCTATAACCGATTCTGTTAAGTTTAAAATCGAGGACGTGCATCCCACGTTAGGACTGAAGTAAAACCCAGCCGATGAGTGTAGCGCATTTGTTTGGCAGCTGTTGAAGGTGCTTGTACCAGAAGGTCAAGTTGGTTATTGGTAGTGGCAATTTATGGCCCGTTGGGCCTGATTGCTCCCGTGTTAGTTCGATTAAAACCGCTACTACAAAGCTATGTTCGGAAAGAAAGGGATAGGACACATGTGTTCATGCAACTTAACGAGACGAGTGTTATCACTTCTTATATGAGGTGTACTCATCAGGACATTTACAAATTTCGCGGCGCTACCAGCCGGAAATGGTTGATGATGAGGAAATGCATGTGCAGTGCTTTTCAGACGCATCCACGGTTGGTTACAAAGCCTTGGTGTAGGCTAGGATTATCGAGCGAGATAACTGAGTAAAAACCTGTCTTTACTGGAAAGTTTCGGGTAGAAACAAGCAGGCAGTTACCATACAACGGCTAGAGATAATAGCCGCTGTCCTTGCCGTTAGACTAGCTGCTCAAGTATCAGAAGAGGTACAGACAGAAAGACCAGCGCTATCTCGGAGCGACTAAATGCTAGTGTTGCAGCTTATACGTTGTACGGCGAGAATTTTCAGGACGTTTGCAACCAGCCGGCCTTCCAAAATTCATCAGTTTTCTGTCCCAACAGCGTAGAGGTATGGCAAACCTCAGAGAACCCAGCTAAACTTTCCCCTAAAGGTATTCCAGCCAGCAATAAACCTCGACTGAAGCGATGGCTTGTAGCTCCCAATTACTTGAAGTTAGATTCGGCACGCTGGCCCAAAATTCCTGCCCCACTTAAGGAAATACCAAAAGGGTGGTTAAAGAAGGAAGATGTCTGGCTTCATTGTGCAAACTCGACGAAGGCATGATTGAGTAATGTTCTCAAACGGTGGTAACTGGACCACGGTTAAACGACGCGCCGTCATTATCCTCATGTTCAAGGGGTACTTGAGGCAAAACGCGGCGGATATCCAAAAGACCCAATTGAAAGTGGGTTGAGGTCATGCGAATTTAAAGAAGCGGAAGCTGTACTATTGTAAAAGGTTCAACAAGCAGCCTCCGCAAGTGAGATCACGGTTTGGTAAGGGTACAGACTTAGGTTGCGAAATACTAAATAGCCTGTACTCTACAATCAGACGAATGCGATGCATTCCTTTTGGAACATTCGGATAGCCAGACAAAAGTGTTTGGGTAACTAGAGTGAATTGAATTGAAACTGGCAATGAAACTGCTTATCTTGCTGATGCTGCGCGACATTGTTTAGAAAGCCATAACATAGTTCCAAGCGAGGACACACTGTCGGTCTTAGTAACGTAATATATAACCACACATTTTTCATTATTTCCACGAATCACTGAGACTGTGACAAATCCCAGAAATTGCACAGCATCATCGGCGTGGCTGCCTAAAGTTGACGAAGACTGATGGACAACTAGGCGCTAGAAAACTTGTTTGCGAGTATTGTATTGTAAACTGTAATGAGTAACGCAGCACCTAGTTCCATAGCAACCCAAACATGCTTGCAATGAACTGTAACACAGGGTGAATATCTGTGGAAGACGAGTTTGGCTCCTCATCAGAACAAAAAATGGAGTGTTTATGTTAGAAATATTATAGGTTGTCTATTGCAAGTCGATCGGGGCAGCCGAAAATGCAGTAGTAGGTGGGTCAGTATGTGACATGGCGCAGCACCAGAAGGTCGGGTAAAGATTTCCGGACTTACCGCAGCTACGGTAAAGTTCATCCTTGGCGGAACCAACTTGATTATTTAAGCTGCGCTCAGACACCCACTGGGGTAACCCTTGCACCCAATTGGGGGACTCGTAGCAGATGGTGATTTCAAGCGGTCGATTGTGCCAAAAGAATGGTGAAGTAAAACTTTCACTTTATGTCGTGTTCACGTCGATGCGTTCATGCCACTGATTTGTTGGCATAAATTGTCAACCTTCAACCTTCATTGGACTAAGTGTGTTCTTGCTTATGATCGGCTGAATCGACCGTACATTTGGAAGCATGTAGCATCCGGTGGGCTGAGGCTTGTGGTGGCTAGATCGTGACAGATGGTTTACCCACTGCTGCCACATTTCTGCCATGGGCTCATGTCCTGGACGCCTCCTCGTGACGATCGCCGGGTGGGCGACAGTTTAAGCTCTCCTCCCTGCTAAGATCCAGGACATGGCTTCTCATAAGTCAGTGCAGTGACCAGGTGCTGGACCCGATGCCTTTCGGGTTTAAATTTAATCGGTGGC